CCGCGGAACGAAAACGCTCTTCCACAAGCAAAAGATATGTTTTTGCATCCACATTACCGGGAAGAGTTGACTTAATGTTGTTGGCAATCGTCATTCGCATAAAGCTCAAACATAATCTGTTAGACCTGTCCCAAGCCTTACGGTTTGATTTCTCAGCCTCACTGCTATGATCATTAATGTCAGCGGGCTTTTCTTCAAGCAGAGCCAAGTCAATATCCAAAACACCTAAATGGAAATTGACTTGCTCACGCTATTCAGAGAAATTCAAACCATTGAAGACAGTAACAGAAGAAGCTTGCGAATGAAGAGAGATAGCTGCACAATCACAAACGCTCACTTAATTAATAGATTCAGATAATACATTCATCAAATATATTGCAGGTCTCCTTTGGGTAAACACAACAATATATATCATTATCATAAGTCGAATGTCATTTAACACTTAATGAGAAATTAAATAAACTTCGCCTAACATACATAGTATCTTTGGATATCTGCATACGCTCGACAAAGGACATTATATTTCTCCTTAATGTTTATTAGTTATAGAACATTGATTCACCTTTGGGTAAATCCATAATTTCTAACAACCAATAAACTCATTATCTTAAATAATGACATTCTCAAGAGAACATAAGTTATATGACCAAACATTAGAAAATTAATCTGGCCACTTTGGTGACTAACAAATTAATTTTCACTTAATGTCATATAATAAACAGTTGTAACAATAATATTATATGACTAGACATTAAAAATTAATTAGGTCACTTTGGTGACTAACAAATTAATTTCTCTTAATGTCATATAATAAGCGGTTATAGCGATAAATTATATGACCGAACATTGAAAATTAATTAGGCCACTTTGGTGACTAACTAATTAATTTTGTCTTAATGTCATATAATATAACAAATCATCATAATGTTAACAAACTAACCCTTATTATTCATAAACCTAATGGGTATTTGTCAACTCAATCATCATCATCTAAAACACATAAATTTCAATTAATCAAAATATATTTGTTCCCAGCAAATAATTTTGTACTGAGCATTGATTACTCCACAATTCATATATCCAAATTCCACAAAAGATATGAAAGGAAATAAATCCTTCACAACATCATGTCTTGCTAACTGAATTTAATATTAGCAAGCAAATATATGACAAGCAAATCAACAATTGCTCAAGGTCAAACGAACATTGATGCGGAAGTTTGATGCGTTCAATAGTGGGACCAATCACAATATTTATTTGTCCAAATAAAATCCGAACACAATGACAGCAATGCGGATGATTAATTCAATTCCAGTAAATCCCCATATATATCAGCACTGGCAAAATTCATCATAATTCATAAGTTCATTCAATTTTCATTTAACCTAAGGCTGTCGATGCGGACAAAATATGCATCCAATGCGATCGGCCAGAACATTCATCAGCTATCATTCGATTTGATACGAAATACACAAATTATTTATTCACAACACATGCTCTGATACCACATGTAAACATCATTAAGGATCTTGAATAAATAATTT